ACAAGCATGCTTAGTGTGAGGGATTGCTGTCAATGAGTCAATGCAATCAACTGGTTTTCCTTAGATAGAAAACTTTGAATCAATTTGACTGTATGATCTGGTTGAACTGTAAATTGGCGCTATATAAATAAACTGAATTGAAATAAAATGAATTGAAATGGTCTTCTAACAGTCTTGGAGGAGTTCCCAGAGATGCTCAGCACTTGTTGGCCCTTTTGCCTGTACTCTGCGGTCCAGCTCACCCCAAAACATCTCGATTGGGTTCAGGTCTGGTGATTGTGGAGGCCAGGTCATGTGGCGCAGCACCCTATTACTCTTCTTCTTGGTTAAATAGCCCTTACAGACCCTGGAGGTGAGTTTGGAGTCATTGTCCTGTTAAAAAATAAATAATGGTCCAAATGAACGGAAACCGGATGGAATAGCATGCCGCTGCAAGATGCTGTGGTAGCCATACTGATTCAGTGTTTCTTCAATTTTGAATAAATCCCCAACAGTGTCACCAGCAAAGCACCCCCACACCATCACACCTCCTCCTCCATGCTTCCCGGTGAAACCAGCATTTAGAGTCCATCCGTTCATCTTTTCTGCAATCCTTATGTTTGTTAGTCCAAGCAAGTCTCTTCTGCTTGTTGCCTTTCCTTAGCATTGGTTTCCTAGCAGCTATTTTACCACGAAGGCCTGATTCACATAGTCTCCTCTTAACAGTTGTTCTAGAGATGTGTCTGCTGCTATAACTCTGTGGTATGCACCTAAAAGTCAAGGTGACAATCTGCCAGTGATAAAATTTTTTATTTTTATTTTTATGTTTCGACAGATTCCAGAGGTAACATTGAAATTGATATTAATATGGTTTAACAAAATATGGAATGAAGGTTTAATACCAAAAAGCTGGAAAAGGGCAAAAATACTACCCTTTGATAAACCTGGGAAAGATCCTATCAGTCTAAATAACTATAGACCAACAACTTCAACTTGTCATTTAAGTAAATGGAGAAAATAATAGTCAGTAGATTAGGGTTTGTTCTTGAGCATAATAAATTGATTAATGGATATCAGTGTAGCTTTAGAACAGGGAGATAAACAATGAATGCATTAACTAGAGTCAATAATGATATAGAGAAAGCTTTAAAAATTAAGGAGAGAAGGATTATAGTATTTTTTGATATAGAAAAACTTTATTATTGATCATGGAGGGAAGGACTTCTTCTAAAAATGAATCAGAGGGGAATAAGTAGGAAGATGTATGACTGGATAGCTTTTTTTTTTTTTTACTGGGTAGAAAAATAAGAGTGAAGATTGGGAATGATTATTCAAAAGAATTTATTGTAGCAAATGGAATACCTCAAGGTAGAGCAATTAGCCCTATTTTATAAGATATCATGATTAATTCTATTTTTCTAATACGATAAATGTATAAAATCTGCTCTGGATGAGGGGAAATAATATAAAACATATGTTAGGAAATATTAAAAAAGCAGTTAGTAAAGTAGAATAGTGGTCTTATGAATGGGGTTTTTCATCAGCAAGAAAGTTTTGTTTTATGGTTTTTACCAAAAGAGAAATACTTATATAGGAACAATAACATTATACGAACAGCCATTGGAAAAGGGTTGCAGAATTAAAATATTTAGGACTATGGTTGATAGTTCTCATACATGGAAAAAACATATATTGGAAACTAAGTGTAAGAAAGGTATAAATCTACTAAAGGCTGTGGCTGGACATAATTAGGGTGGAGATAGACAGTCATCATTAAACATATAAAGGGCTCTCATGAGATCAATAATAGATTCTGCAAGTTTTATATATGGAGCAGCAGCTAAAACATCACTACAAAAGATAGACAGATTACAGATTAGGACTTTATGTATATATATATACAGGTGCAGTTAAACTGAGACCTATTAATGCTCTTTTAATATAGACTGAAAAGACTCCATTGGAAATGAGAAGAATAGAACTAGCTCTAGTTTACTGGATTAAAATTAAAAGTAGTAAGGAAGAACATACAATTTTACAAAACTGCAATATGCAAAGTACCATCGTAATGGATTTGGATGGATTATAAGCAAATTGAATAAAGAATATGGATTAGAAAATAAGAAGTCAGTTTAATCCGATTAGTGTTATTCCTCCATGGCTATTCCCTCAGGTAAATGTAGACATGAGACTGCTAAAAATGAAAAATGATTGGAATTTAAATGAAAAAGGGATGAAGACTGATATATCTTTAATAAACTCATATCATAACTACCTTAAAATATATTTTAGATGGTGCTAAGAAGTTAAAAGGACGTGTGGGTATAGGAATATATATACCAGAGTTTAAAATATACATTTCTTAAAGAATATCAGATAAACTATCTGTTTTCACAGCAGAAATGGTGGCAATTATACTAAGCTTACAATGGGTAGAGGAGGTTAAACCAGACAGGGTGGTGGTATGTACAGGTTCCAAAGTTTTATAAAGTATTAGAAAGTAAGTAGTGATAGAAAAACAGAAAGTATAGTAATTAAGTAGTAATTAGAAAGTAAGTAGGCAGTAGCCATTCAGATCCACACTCCATACCAGTAGGTGGCGGTAATGCAACATTTCGTTGCAAGCTAACCGCCAATAAAATCCCATAAAGAAGAAAAAATGGATAGGTTTTACGGCAGGGGTGCCTTTCTCAACAAAACACCGGTTGTCGGCAGTTGGAATGACTGTAGTGGAAACGGTTAATCAGCTGATTCTTAACGCCCAAAGTAAACTGAAAATAAAACAGACTTTTCTGCCAGGGGATGTGCGACTCGACCTGAGAGCTTTTATTTTTGTTTAGGATGTACTGACATGTTTTATCCAGGTAAGTTTAGATGGATAAAGCTGTTAACTGCGGTGTGTTGTGGCATTTATGCTAAGTCAGAGAGGTACCTGGCGTTAACTCGGCCTGGCTCCTTGCTTTGTTTTTATTACTGCCTCGTTAATTAACGTAAGAGACTGGAAACCGGGACACAGTGCGTTTTATGTCACACTACAAACAGATAGTTTTTAGTATATTTCCAGAGCCTTTACTATATTTACAACTCGTATACGTGTGGAGGTATTCGGTCAATTTAACCAGCTAGCATTAGCAGGCTAGCTGCTAGTCTGTACAGAGGAACAGAATGGCAACAGTTAGCCTTCTCTACAGGTTCATCAACTGAAATAGAAACCACCGATAGCTGCTAATAAATATTTGTTTTCGTTTATTAATATTCTCAAGATATATAGTTAACTAAGTAGCATTTATGTTGAACTAAAATTTCAATGCAAAACGTAATGAAACATCAGTTGAAACACTTAAATTGAAAGTTTTGTTGTTTCCCTTCAGTTAATATAAATAATGTGATATGTGAGTCACTATATTTTTCCATCTGTAACCCTCTGTAAGGCCTGGGGATTGTCTCTAATCTCTTTGAGGGTTTGAGACATTTCTATATTTAACTGAACTGTCTGAGCATGACTGGTGACTGTTTGTTTTATTAGATTCTTCTTAAATAAAATAAACAACATTCAATTTGTATATAAATTAATTGTTTTTACAGCCGTATGATAATTACAGCAACAATCATAATGATGACAGAATTGTTGAACCCAAATGTTTGAAAGGAAAAGCTCTGAGTTATTGTTTGATTCGTTCATTTATTTATTATAACTCCAAAAAAGTTTAAAGAAGCATTTTTGTTATCAGCTATCATTACCAGTGACTCTGAGGTGACACACACAGGTGAATTTGCTTTCTTTGTTTATTTTTTGCTAAAGAGACGTGTTGGTCTGAAGTTAAAGAGGATTTTTTACCATTAAAAACAGAAAATAATGAAGTAGCTAAAATTCTAAACCAGTTTTTTGTCAGCTTATATTGATAATAACCATCAGTTTTCAGGATATCTGCAAGTTTTCAAGCGTTTTTCTGATTTTTAACCATCCACTCTGTTTCCCACAGCCTTTTATGACTCAGGGAACAGAAAAGCTTCCTGCCTGGTTGTTTCTCTTTCCTCACTAGGTTAGAGTTTATCCTGACAATGTTTAGGTAAATGGATGATCTGGTTTAACGTCTAACGTTTCAGTTTGTTACCAGCTGACCAATATATTGATCTGGTTCTTCACATAGGAGGATAGAAGGTGAACTTTCAGCCAAATACGTGGTTTAAAACATTAGGACGGAGGTCTTCAACAGGGGGTCCACAACCCCTTTAATAACAACAGTATTGTTGCTTATTTATTCATTGTCATTACTCTCTTATTCCTCTGCAGCTGGACAACATGGACAAGATTCTGGAGGGCCTGATCAGCTCGGACCACTCTGCTCCGGTAAAGAGGGCCATAGTGAAGAAGGTGGTGGAAGCAGCAGAGAACGATGTGACGGAGGAGCAGTGTCGAGCGCTGTTCACACTCACCACCCGCCTCATCCTGCTCGGTGACGACCCTTTCCAGAAGCAGATTGGCCTGCAGGTCCTGGAGGCCTATGCCCGCTACCACCGCCCAGAGTTCGAGCTCTTTTTCAGCAAAGACTTTGTGCTCAGTTTGCTCCAGCAGGGCTACGGGGAGCTTAAACACGGAGACCCCGCCATTGTCGACTACATCCACTGCTGCCTGCGGCTGCTCATCAGCTGCCCCTCTGTACTGGACACCTTCAGCGTGATCAAGGTGGAGGTTTTGAGGATGGTGTGTGAGCGCCCTGAGCCGGCTCTCTGCGTACGGATCAGCTCTTTGCTGTCAGACTTTATGCAGTGCATCCCGAGGGACAAGTCGGGCATTTTGTTCTGTCAGCAGCTGGTGAGGACTATCAGCTGCTTTCAGTGCGTTGCCAGCGAGGAGCGGGAACTAAGAGAGTATGTGAGCCAGGTGACAAAGGTCAGCACCCTGCTGCAGAACATCTGGAAGGCTGAGCCTGACACATTGCTGCTCTCTTTGCAGGAGGTCTTCGCCATCATCTCCTCCACAGGTAAAGAAACTGCCAACCTGAAATCTTAGCTTTCCCTCTTCTTTGAAATCATGTTGATCAAACACCTCTTCTGGCTAATATATGGTTTTCACTCTCCTTTGCACAGATGTGGTTCAATGATGGCAATTAAATGTAACTAGTGTTTAGGGGCGTGCTTCAGTGACGCAGGCCTTAGTGCTGTGGTACTTCGCTTCATGTCTCTACCCCTCTCTCACACCCCCTTTCCTGTCTGCCTACCGTTGGGAAAAAAAAAAACAAGCCACTAGTATGAAGGACCAACTCTTCCATATTTAAAAATAAATACAGAAATAATAAATAAGCGTACAATTAATTGCCCCCAAAAATACAATAAATTAATAAATGTAAATTATACAGTGAGACATAAATGCATGAATCTATTATTCAATTTCTGCTATTGATTCTGTTTGTTGTATTTTTGGGGGCAATTAATTGTACGCTTATTTATTTATTGAGCATTTATTTATTTATGTATTTATTTCTGAATATGGAAGAGTTGGTCCTCCATACACTAGTGGCGTAAAAAACTAAAGAAATAAAAAGTAACTTTTCTAAATAATGTTATTCATACTTAAAAACAGATCTGTTTTTATTGTCTTTACAGCTTCCGCTCACCTGTAATTTGTTTGGAATGTATGTATTTTAGATGTTAAAAATGACGACAAATTTAGCCAGTTCTAATGTCCATCTATGATAAAACATCAACACAGAATTTAGGTTTCCTTTCTTTGTTGTCTAACTTCCCTCCCAAGTGGACAATAATTATTCCTACTGGAAGCAGCAGTGGCATCATTCTTTGTTTTACATTTTTTTTAAAACAGATGTTTTAAATATATCTTCAGCATCATAGTCGGGTTATATGCCTTTACAAAAAAGTCCAAAAACAGTTTGATCCTGTTAAAATAAGCTTGTATAACCCAAAGGCAGGGGAACAAAAATATCAACACATATTTTTATAGAGCTGCACAGCATTCTGGGGGATGTAGGCAGAGGAATGGGTTTATCCTCTCAGCCTGCATGTGGCTTCACAGTGCGGCCACCTTCAGATGATTTCTATTTCCCTTTTATTTATAGTCCTGTTCTGATCTGAAGGACAACATGTGTTTAAAGTAAACTGAATTCTTGGTGTCTCTGTTTTTTTAGACCCATCCTTTGACCCGTCTATTGCTCTGGCTAGTCTGGTCCAGCATATCCCCGTGCAGATGATCACTGTGCTCATCAAGAGTCTCACCACAGACCAGAACGTCAAAGATGCGACGATGACCAAAGCTCTCTGCAGGTAACCCTGTCTTTTTATGTCCTGCAGTCATCACATGTGTTCGTAATAGATGGTCAGTCTCCTTTCAGAGAGTATTTAATGATCGGAGCTTGTTGTGTGTTTAAAGAATGATCGACTGGTTGTCCTGGCCTCTGGCCCAGCATGTGGACACCTGGGTCATCGCTCTGCTCAGGGGCCTGGCTGCAGTTCAGAAGTTCACCATCCTCATAGATGTCACTCTGCTGAAAATCGAACTGGTTAGTAAAGCTGAACTTTACACCCTAGAGGAGGTTGGATTAAAAAATAACGTTACAGATCTGCTAATTAGGCTGTTTGTTCCTCTGGTTCTTTAATAAAGCCTAAGCAGAGTGTAATTCGTTTTGGTGAATTAAGATTTATTCATACTTAAGAGCTTGTAAGAGTTTTACCGACATTTAGTTTGAATATGTTAAAGACATAAATTTGACTGGACTTTAAATTAATTTAAGGAATCATTTGGATGAATAAATTTCAAGTTTTTTTTTTTTTTTTTTTTTTTAATCCTGCAGGTCTTTAACCGTCTGTGGTACCCTCTCGTACGGCAGGGTGCGCTAGCCGTGCTCTCCCATATGCTGCTGAGCTTCCAGCACTCTCCAGAGGCCTTCCATTTGGTAGGAGACCCTCAGCACCTCATCTCCTTCTCATATGATCCCATTATCTGTTCTCCCATTTTCTCCTGTTCTTTCTGAAATGACCTCCATGCCTCAGGAATCCTCCTAACTAATGATCTGCAAAGCATTTAAATGCCAAGCACTTTAATTTAATGAAAATCGTAACAAGAGGAGAACTCCATAATAATCAGCAAATGGGGTCGAGTCTCTGTGGAGTTTCTGATGTTCATCTCCTCTCTTGTCGGCCTTTTTTTCCACCTTAAAAGGACTTATTAGCTTTAACATCTGTTTATTTCAGATTGTTCCACATGTGGTGCCTCTGGTTAAGTCTCTAAACTCAGACGGCCTCCCGACCAGTCAGGCGTTCCTTCTGCAGTTCACCGAGCTGATCCACTGCATGATGTATCAGTACTCTGGTTTCCCGGACCTCTACGACCACATATTGGAAGCCATAAAGGTAAAGAACCGATGCATGCTGTTAGAAACTCTCAGCTTTCAGGCATTTCTGCCTAATCTGTGCATGATTCTTTTCTCTCCAGGAGCTTCCAAAACCCTCAGAAGAGAAGATCAAATTGGTGTTGAATCAAAGTGCCTGGACATCCCAGTCGAATTCATTTGCTTCTGGGTTACTGAGGCCAGCTGGGAAGTCTGAGACTGGAAAGACGGGCCTGATCAACCTGGGGAACACCTGCTACATGAACAGCATCATCCAGACTCTTTTTATGGCAACTGAGTAAGTCCCCCCCCACAGAGGATCAGTGTTGCAGCAGTTGGTGTGGAGGACTAAACGCCAGTGTTTGTTCTTAGCTTCAGGAGGCACGTTCTGTCTTTAAATCTAAACGGCTGCAACACGCTGATGAAGAAGCTCCAGCTCCTCTTCGCCTTCCTGGCTCACACACAGGTCAGTTACATGAGGAAACACAATGCTGCCGCTGCTCGCCGCCGCCGGATGTCATGAGTTGTGTATGTGTGGCTTTGTCCAACAGAGGGCAGCATACGCTCCCAGAAACTTCTTGGAAGCATCTCGTCCTCCCTGGTTCAACGTGGGCTCACAGCAGGACTGCTCAGAGTATCTGAGATTTCTTCTAGAAAGGTACGATGAGCCTCCAGACCTGTGCCTCATCTTCAGCTTAAAGCCATGAAGAATAATGAAGATTAGGTCTGTCTGTTTAACCACGGAACCTCACGGTTTCTTTAGGATTTCATCAGCCTCACCAACATTAAATATTATATAACTGAGGCAGATAGACAGTCATATTTTTTTATTCTTCACACACGATTCCACGTTTCTTTTTCCACAAATGATCATTTGGTTTGGGTCTGGACTTTGATTAAGCCATTCTATGCCAACAGATTTGCTGGGAGCTGTTGTAATAGTAATAATAATTATAATAACAATGGTAATTTAACTTTATTGATCTCACATTGGAGAAATTTACCTCTGCATTTAACCCATCCCCTTAGGAAGCAGTGGGCTGCCATATTGCTGCGCCCAGGGAGCAATCAGGGGTTAAGGGTCTTGCTCAGAGACCCATAGTCGCAGTCTGTGGGAGTGGAGCTCAAGCTGAGAACCTCAGGATTCCAAGGTCTATGTCCTAACTACTAGGCCGCCACTCCCCGCCTATACTGTAGCTCTGACTGGGTTTCTAGTTTTCTATAACATATATCCGTGATTTTTCACATTTTGATGAATTAAAGGAAACGTCAGGTCAGTAAGCAATAATCAATGGATCATTATCTATACCTAAAACTAATACGTTTGCGTTGATTTAATGAATTTAGGGTT